AGAGAGAGAGAGAGAGAGAGAGAGAGAGCGAGAGAGAGCGAGAGAGATAATCAATAAGTGGAATGCGATTAGATAAGCGAGAGGTGCTACAGCTTTACGTATAAATAAGGTATAAAACGTGTAAAAACGTATGAAAACGTATGGAAATGCATACAAAAAACGTATCGCATATAAACACATTTGCTTGACAGGATGCCCTTCCTGACGTTCACCTTTCTCTTTTTTTATATTTATTTTATTATATATTTTATGGTGTTTTCTGCATTTTTTTCTTTTTTATCTTATTATATATGTATTTTTTACATAGAAAATGATGTCTAGAGATTTACTTTATATGAGCGTGAATCAGAAATCTTTATAAAAAAGGTAGAAAATGATAATAATGAATATGATAGAGGAACAGGTAGGCAAAAAAGCACAACAAAGTAAATGCACGTAACGTGCCTATAGGAAAGAGAGAGAGAGAGACAGATAAAGCGAGAAAGAGAAAGAGAAAAGAAAGAAAGAGAGATAGAGAGAGAGAAAATTTATATATATATATATATATATATATATATATATATATATATATATATATTATATACTATATATATATATATATATATATATATTATATATACATTATATATACATATATATATATATATACATATATATATATTATATAATATATATATATATATATATATAGAGAGAGAGAGAGAGAGAGAGAGGGAAAGAGAGCGAGAGAGAAGAGAGAGAGAGAGAGGAGAGAGAGAGAGAGAGAGAAGAGAGAGCGAGAGAGAGAGAGAGAGAGAGAGAGAGAGAGAGAGAGAGAGAGAGAAGAGAGAGGAGAGAGAGAGAGAGAGAGAGGAGAGAAGAGAGAGAGAGAGAGAGAGAGAGAGAGAGAGAGAAGAGAGAGAGAGAGAGAGAGAGAGAGAGAGAGAGAGAGAGAGAGAGAGAGAGAGAAGAGAAAGAGAGAGAAAGAGAAGAGAGAGAGAAGAGAAGAAGAAAGAAAGTAAGAAGAGAAGAGAGAGAGAAAGAGAGAGAGAGGAGAGAGAGAGAGAGAGAGAGAGAGAGAGAGAGAGAGAGAGAGAGAGAGAGAGAGAGAGAGAGAGAGAGAGAGAGAGAGAGAGAGAGAGAGAGACAAGAGAGAGAGAGAAGAGAGAGAGAGAGAATAAGAGAGAGAGAAGAGAGAAAGAGAAAGATGAAAGAGAAAGAAAGAAGGAAAAAGAAAGAAAAAAAGAAAAACTAAGAAACGAGAAGAGCGTTAAGAACTGGCCAAAACGAGTGAGGAAATTGTTCCTCGCTACGAGGAGATTTCTTCTAGAGAAGACTTTCCCCAGACTTAGGAGACTTTATCGAAGACAAAGTTGAAGAAAAGAAACCGATTTTTCTGTCTTTGTTGTGCAAGTACTTACTATATTTATTATACTTTTTGTTATTCATCGTTACCCCGCGTGAATTATAACAATCAAGGTGAACGTAATCTTTGTTATAGTTAAGGCTAATACTATTGTTATTCGTAATCACGTTTGTTATTATTATTAATGCGACTTTAATATTTTATTACTATATTACTGTTAGTAGAAAGAGGGAGGGATGGGAGGGAGGGAGGGTAGAGGGAGAGGGAGAGAGAGAGAGAGAGAGAGAGAGAGAGAGAGAGAGAGAGAGAGAGAGAGAGAGAGAGAGAGAGAGAGAGAGAGAGAGAGAGAGAGAGAGAGAGAGAGAGAGAGAGAGAGAAGAGAGAGAGAGAGAGAGAGAGAGGAGAGAGAGAGAGAGAGAGAGAGAGAGAGAAGAGAGAGAGAGAGAGGAGAGAGAGAGAGATGAGCAGAGAGAGAGAGAGAGACAGAGAGAGAGAGAGAGACAGAGAGAGAGACAGGGAAGAAAGAGAGACAGGGGAGAAAGAGAGAGAGGGAAAGAGCGAGAGAGGAGAGAGAGAGAGAGAGAGAGAGAGAGAGAGAGAGAGAGAAGAGAGAGAGAGAGAGAGAGAGGCGGAGTGAGAGTGAGAGAGTGCGAGTGAGAGTGAGAGAGGCGAGAGAGAGAGAGAGGCGAGAGAAGAGAGAAGAGAGAGGAGAGAGAGAGGAGAGAGAGAGAGAGATGAGGAGAGAGAAAGAGAGAGAGAAGAGAGAGAGAGAGAGAGAGAGAGAGAAAAGAGAAGATGGAAAGAAAGAAAGAGAGAATTGTTTATGAAAAATAGTGGATTAGTGTTTCCAAAATATCAGTAAGGTATATACCCCTTTAGCCATACCATAAGCTACCACGTACCTTTGTCAATATTTCTAATACACACATGGCTATAATCCACAGACATTACCATCCACACCTACCATTTCTCTAACCATACAGCAGCCAGCACACAAACATCACACTACCACTAACATGACCACCATATCACCATAAATCACTATTAACATGACCACCATATCACACAACACTAAACATCACTATTAACATGGACCAGACCATATCACCACAACATCAACACCATATCAAACCACTTACATGACACATATTCACCCCACAAACATCAACACCATATCACCAGAACATGACCACATATCACACTAACATGGCCTACATCAATCACCACTAATGGCCCACACACATATCACCACTAAACTTACACACCATATCTACATACAACATGACACATATCACTCATAACTGCCACCATATCACCATAAATGATCCACCACTCCTCATTCATCACCCACTACAATGACCAGCACCAATAATCACACTAACAATGACCACCTATCATACATAACATGAAATGACTAACACAAATCACATTAACGATGGCACATATCACCACTAACATGACCACCATATCACACCAATCATGGCCACATTCCACTAAATGAACCATATCACCTAACATGGCCACCATATACCACTAACACACCACCATAATCACCACATACCACTAACATCACCCAATCATCCACATTTCACCAATAAACACAACAACCACATATCACACTAACCTCACCATTCACACTAACAATCCTCACCCATATCCAATAATCATCTCACCATATTCACTAACACTATCACCATAATCACACTACATCTCACATATCAACCATTAACATCCTCAACCATAATCACCCACTAACATCCCACGGCATATCACACTAACATATCCACTAACCACCATATCACCACTCACCAAAACATTACCATCATATCACTACTAACATCACCATATCACCACTAACATCACCGGATCCCCCACCAAAACACCATATCACAACTACACAACATACCACTCCCACCCAACACTGCATTGAACTAAAACGACAGTCATTGAATTTAAACAACCTTCACCCCCATAAAATCACTGTCAGTACCATATATCCTGCACTGTTTTCTGTTTCATAACGCCATTTCTTTCTTTTCTTTTAGATTAGTTTCATAATACCTATTATTTAGATTTAGATTACTTTTATAATTCGGTGTTATGTCACAAGTAAGTTTATAATTACGTGTGGAATTCGACAGGTTAGCCAAGCAAGGCACCTAACACGGTCTATGAAATTATAATATTAACATGTTATATTCCAAATTTGTAATGTAATATCGTATAATATTATAGCCATATATAAAAGACCAGGATATTCGTATTGGACGCACTGTAATTATAACGATGGAGGAAAAAAATGGAAATATACTTCAATGCAAGTACAATAGGGACACTGAGTTAACCTACATGGGCCTTCTATTACGTCACGGGAATATGGCTGATACCTTGCATCTTAAAGTCACTGAAATACGTACTGTAAAGGTAATGTAAATAATAGGTATTATAAAGGTAATGTGGTCAGCATTCTCACATTCCCTAACCTTTCGTAAGTCTAAACTTCACTTTGCTCTCGAGTTAATATTCAAAATATGTTTCAAAAACTTCTATGACACTACTCATAATAATCAACAACAAAAACAACACAAAAAAAAAAAACAAAAAGAAAAATACGTAATGAACTCGCCGACTCCCAGTCAGCCATTAAGCTTAATAAATTGATATAAGCTTTGACGTTGCCGCCTTTTCCTGAATAAAACATACCTACAGATTGGAAATTATAAAAAAAAAAAAATAAATAAAAAAATAAATACAGGATCGTGATTTATATCTTCTTAACAAAATACATAACAGCTAAGCTAGGTAGAATGGACTAATGCGTGTTTCCCTGGTCGAAAGAAGTGTCTCAAAGAAAAGATAGAGGGAAAAAAAGAAGGAAAGAAATAAATAAAAATAAATAAAAATTAAAAGAAGAATAAAAGGATTTGTCTCCATGCACACATACATTCGTATATATTACAGTATAAGGGAGACAACGGAGTAAACATGGAGCTGCCTTATTTGAAAGCAAAAGAAAAACTAATCATGAAGTTATTTGTGTTAGAATAAATATAAAAAATAATGCGCAAAAAAGGAGAGGGAGGAAACAGAGTAAAGGTAGGGCGGGAGTGGGAGCTGAGGAGGAGGGGAGGGGGGGGGGGGGAAGATGCAACACGTGACGTAAAATGTTCATGAACTCGAACAGAAACTTAAATAAAGTGCTGACACTCTTTCTAAATGATGTATGTGTCATCAAAATATCCTAACTTCGATAAAAATACATACATCACCACAAATCATAGCATTAAAGAACATATTACAGAGTTTTAACCTGGCGTGTTCAAGAGGAGGGTGGGGGGTGGGGGTCAAGGGAGAGGGAGGGGGACGCGAGAACGGGCGGGTGGGTGGGGGAGGGGAGGGGAAGGGCGGGGCGGGGTCAAAGACTATATAAGAAAGATAAGAAAACACCGATTTAAAAAAAAACGTGAAGCCCAAAACTTCATACAACGCCAACTATTGTTCAGATATTACACTATCTGCCAACCGCTGGGGCTCACAGGCTTTGGCCATGGTCTCCTATCTTTCGTACTAGTCTTTGGGCGGGGTGGGAGGAGGAGGGGAGGGGAGATAGGGGGAGACCTCGGCACCCTAAACTCTTACGTTTAGTCGGCGTGCGCACGTGGTGGTTGACGCACAGTGGCTTAGTGCTCACGTTGAGGTTGTACTGTTTTGGATTCAGTCTTTGTTTCAAAACACGTTTCATAACACGTGTTACCCAAGATCTGTTGGTGCTTGAATTGAGGTATTTTCTTTGATTGATTAATCAATTATTATTTTCCACTTCTTTCGTTATTGTTTGAGTTTTTCTCATTATTGCTTGATTTTCTCCTCCTCCTCCTTCTCTCTTATCTCTTTTTATTATCTTTGGTGTTCCTCTACTGTCTGTTGTTGGTGTTATTTATTCAAATCTTGAAGTCAGTCAAGCGCAGAACATCATGAACAAGAAAGATGATTTTTAGGATGATAACTTGATAACAGTAACAGAAAAGTAACGTTAACTTCACTGTGAAAATGTAATGTAAGCAGTGTTTGGCTGAACGATAATGGTATAATAACCTTTGTCGCGAACACTAACATGCTAGAAATAGAAGTATAACTTTCTTGTTTACTGGAACATTAACAATGATACATGCATTTAGTGTGGTACTTATTGTGCAAAACTGTGCAGCCATCTCTTGAAATTTTGGGATAGATGGATGACTTTATTGTATGCGATGGAGGAACATTTTGCTAACGAAACGTGTCTGTAATGACGTAACATGAAGCTTCCGCCGCGGCTTCCGGTAAAAGATTAGATACTTCCAACGCGAATATTCTAGTAAAACAGAGCTGGCAGACCTCTCGAAAGCGTTTGTCTTAGCTCTGCCTTGCCAGAAAGTTCGTCGGCCTGTGCCAGAGTGCCATAGGCGCGGAGTCCTCGGGAACCACTTGTTGCTATGTCAACATCATGGCGGCCTAAGGTTGGTGCTCTGTTTGGGTTTCATGAAGCCTTGACCCCACATAAAGCGTGTCTTTAATTGTGTTGTAGTATTGTAATAACCATTATGATTTACCTCACAATTTACTTGGTACTATTCGTGCTATCCTTATCAATCAGGGGTAATATCGTCACTATAATTATTATTTCGAGGACTGATGTAAATGTAATCTAAATATTACAAGCAATATCTCCTTACTCAGAAGCTTAGTATCACTGACTCAAAGGACTCTCCTGAATATGAAAGACCCGTACTTAGATTCCGAAATAAACTGCGTGCTTGAATTATTTTCTAAAACTTATTATAGTTTTATTGTTTAGGAGTGAAGTAGGTGGTAATACTCCGTTGCCAATACAATTCCGATTCGTTTTGGATGTTCGTTTTACTTAAGAGAGGCACATTAAATGTTCGTTCCATTTTTTATATAAGTATAAAATATAATTCTGCAGTAGACGTATTGTAGGGTTTGAGGTAATTATGAACGACCTTAGTAACAACAGACCGAGATCTCGCTATAGTTTTATACTGCCAGTAACTACCATGAAGGAATCAATTGATTAAATATGTTTTTCTTTAAAATAGTTCCAGTCCATAAGAGAAAACGAGAGAGCATAACGGATAAACTAATCTATACCGATATAAAATTATATGTCTATAGGACTACAACAGTTTCCCGCCCTAGAGCAGAGCTTAGTACTATATAAATGAAAATAAAAATTATCATGTAGAAGTAGCTACAAGTCTACCTGCACGAGTTATCGTTTTAGAACTTGGCTTCTGCTTCAATTTTGGGGTCATGTTCAGTTGTTTAAAACTTATTATTTCATTGATTCCTCTAATAGTTAATCTGAATGAGCAGAAATTCTAGTGGCCTTATTGTGGTTTGAATAAGCAATTCATGTGTGTAGTACTTGTAAAGGTAGAGATTGCGAGCCCTAATGCCATCAAATGTGAAGGTAAGACCACTATTACAAGATGTCAACGAGACATGTGTGGTCTTAATAATGGGGAATATCCATTATCTAAGGTAGACTTCGGTACGTCAAATCCAACGCTTATGTTAACGAAAAAGCTAAGTTATTGCCAAAGACTATATACGAAAGACAGGAAACATATTATCTAATGCATTCTAAAAAATGTGAGCTCCCCGGTCGTCCACCAGCGCCATCTGTTGACTCGACGCCCGACTAAACGTCCGACGTCGTTCAGTGTGCTCACTCGGGCTCATGTTCTTGTTCTTATTCAGGGGGCTTGCGAATAGCTATATTACTATATATATATATATATAATTCATATCGTATCATGACTTTGTAGTAGCATTTATTTTCTTCATATAATTCCTTCGCCCCTCCCAGCCCGAAACTACCCATTCGGCAATTTAGGGCTGGTTAACAACTGTAAATTGGTAGTTCATACATGCATGGCATATATACAGCGTATACAACATGCCATATACGGGACACATTAAACCACGTGGCACAATGAACGTATAAGCCTACAGTCACATAACGTTAGTGACATATAATGTATGATTATATTGCCAAACATGCATCAATACATAGAAATTGAGTATGATAAATTAAAGAAAATGATTACAATATCTTTATTAGAATAATAACAAACCTTTACAAATAAATGGAGAAATACACATTTTTATTTCAATTCTTCGCATTGCGATCGTATGATTTTGAGATAAATTTCCTCATTAAAAAGTTTTTATGTTTGATTAGGGGACTGTCCCCCAACCCCCTTTCCTAGGAGCTG